CTCTCTCTCTCTCTCTCTCTCTCTCTCTCTCTCTCTCTCTCTCTCCTCCATGCTTCGGTACAGGACGGCGGCGACGGCAGCGCAACACTCAATCGTATCATTAACATTGGAACGCACAAACATCCCTTCCTCCGTTGAAAGCGGGTAAAAAACACATCCTTGTGTAGCCAGAGTGCTCTCGTTTTCCAACGGAACACCCACACAAGAATAGAACACCAAAGAGGGAGCGTCCCTCGCATAGTACTGTACACAGATATCTGTTTCCAACGGTAGTCTGTTGTTAGTGAAGCAGTGGGGTCTACGAACTCTGTCCTCAGTGTAACCCACGATCCTACGTAGGGCCATGGACCTGCAAGCCTGCAAGCAGCAATGGTGTGCTGTACGATCACAAGATCACCAAGCCTAGACGCCTAGATTACAGCAGTACCGCCGTCTCTCGTTACCATCGAAAGGATAGGTTTTGAAGTTTGAACACAGGGACACACCAGTCAGGGATAGCAGGGGGACATTGATTCCCACGCAAGACACGCAACCGTCCGTTTGCGGTGCTTGTATTTTGTGTCCCGGGCACGAGAAACGCATGGTCTACCAAAGGGTACTCTAGGCTCCTACTTTTATTCATAAGAAAACATAACAGTGTCAACAGCAGTTTGGCGTTATACGATTCCGGTTGTACACTGCTACATGTAGTGCATGCCCACTCGAACCCTGTCCGTGCTCCCCATTCTTTCCAGCTCACACTTCAGCGAAGGGTTGCCTGGCGTCATGCGGTGCGATGACGATGCAGGCCTACTCGGGAACCGCATGCACCGTCAGGGGAAACGAGCAACGAGACCGAAGCCACACTTGCGACAAGAGAGAGCTTGCGCGGCAGTTGGGTTTGGAGCCGGCAACCAATACATACCCCGCAGTGAACTGACCTAGAGCCTTTTCCAGGAAGACGCCCGTGTCAAAACAAAGGACTCTACCAGACCGTGAGAGGCCCCACCCGTCCGGGCTTGCTTTGTCTCTATCTCTAGCTCTCTTCGGCGGCTGGAAACACGGCATGCAGTGAGACGGCACAGACAGGACTGCGCCGTGGAGGCACCGCAAACTGCAGCAATTTTGAATTTATGAAGGGGTCCGTTGGTCTTTTTTAGCGGGGGGGAGGGGACGGATAAAAAAATATATAGTAGGCCGGCCCGCCCTCAGCCCACAGAGAGCCCTTGTCTCTCAGAAACATCCCAACCCCACTTGTCTCTTTCTAGACCTTCTAAAGCTATCACCACTCTCTCCGAGACAGGCACATCAGGACAAGGTGGGGCGCTAAGAAATCGAGTTTGAATTGGGACCAGGTTCACGGAAGGTACTACTCTGCTGTACCATATCATGATTGAAGTCCTGGGTAGGATGCGGTGGATCTTCGCAGATATTGGTAGATACCCATGTACACCGTCTCTGTCTCGCCTTCGATTATCTTGTGGGAAACGTGTAGTCACGTACATATGGAGGGAGCATTCATTGTGTCTGGGCCCGCTCTCCTTGTCGGACTCGTTGAGTCATACCCTGATCGAGCCTACAAAGCAAACTGCTGTGATGCCTACGTACGTAAATGTACCAATAGATCACCCGAAAATGGGGTTCCACCCAACAGCGGGCATGATGACGAGGCTCGCCTATTACTTCTAGTCTGTCGTGAGCTTCGAATAGGTGGCTCCGGGAGCTTCACACGTTTCCACAACAGCAATGCGATATTGTCATGCTGTACAGCAGCAAGAAGATAACATGACGTTCATCCTCTCCTTCCTTGCCCCGCGTTCTTCGCCCATTTATTTATCAAAGTGTTGAGGACACCCGTCGGAATATATATCCAACCATTTGTGCACATACAAAGATTCCTCGGGGTAACTTGCCATCGGGAGAAGCGGCAAGTAATGCACCGAGAAGATTTGTCGCTTCCGAAGTCCATGGCCGCTTGCCGTCGGAAGAGATGGGGAAGCCTCCGGCTCGCCTCTCTCGACCCTCTGGTCACTCTTTCTCTACCTCTCTCCTCGTTACATCTCACGA